GCAAATAAATGACTTAAACGCCTGTCTTCGTGTTTTATTGTGGCATTGGTTGAGTACTTAAGTTGTCTTGTACCTGACATAATATTGGGATGCTGTATTTCCCGAAAGACTTCTGAGGTTTTTTGTTTTGTTAATGAATGAAGGGTTTCACAGTTATTAGTGTATAGTAATTGAGCCATGAATTAAAGCAAAAACCTGTTAAATCCTGTTTATAATAATGCCAGTCAAGATTCAGAGTATGGTGTAATGATGCCTTGATAGCTTTGATCACAATCATTGTGAGGTGTGTGTACTTCAACAATGGGATTAGAAACAAAATGAAGAGAGGTGATGTTTTTCCTGCTTCTTTGAGAGAATCTTGTTTTCCAAACTAACTTGTACAAGGGAGTATTTATTTTCTCTGACTAAAGGAGAAATAGGTAGGGAGTGGGGGAGTAGCTCCATGTAATAAATTCTGTTGTGAAATTGGACTAAACGATTAAAACAGGTTAAAATGGCATTTAACAAAAAAACACTTTAAAAGTTATTGCTGCTTATGTTAAGGCATTAATTTGCTATAATCTATTTCAATTTTTATTACAGAGTCCAGGATGCACATTTAGATTCTTCAAAACTTTCAACAGTTGATAGTTTGAAATGGAAGAAGTCCCAAAGGAGGTGGGATAGAATTTGCAGAAGTGATCAGCAGTAGCACCGTTTTAGGGGCAGGCAGTATTTCCTGCCTTCTGTTTACTCAAGAAGTTCAGTTCAAGGATTGTCTGAGCTGAAGTCTGGGATTGTGAGGGTTCAAGATGAAGGAAAACTTAAAAACAAACCTCCCTGAGATGCTAAGTAAAATTGGTAATGGAGAAGGGAGTCCTAAGACTAATGTCTCTAGCAGTGCATGTGAATGCATGAAATTTGAAAAGCTTGGCCAAGAGAATAAGCTGGGAAGTTTCTGTTTTGATTTCACAGTGGTAAGGAAAAAAAGTCTCTGCCAAGGGCATTTCATGTTGAAAAGACCAATGAAAAAATTTTAATCTGCTTCTAACAATTAGTATTAAACATTTTGCTGTATCTGTGTTCTAAACTGTAGGGCACAATGTCTGGAAAGAAAGTTTTATTAACAGAATTGTTTAAAAATAAATTAGTTGTTAATGTAGAATGACTTTCATAATTTAAATTCTTAGTGTATTCAGCATGTTAAAGAAGTTTTAATACATTTAATTTTGAAGTGATGCTCTTGTGCAATTTAGTGGATTCCAATTTCCATCTACATGCAGGGAGAGATACCAAAATTCCAGAGAAATAATCTATTAAGATTCATTGTTTCAATGTAATTAAAATGTATAATATAGGCATTTGAATAAGTATGTGGAATACCATATATACAGACCTTAGTAAATGTTGAGATATTGTATTCTCATTTAGCAAAATGAGATACATTGCTAAGAATTAATCTTTTGGAAAACTAAATCACATTTAGGAAATTGAAACTACAAATGCAACATAAGGTCAAGATTAAGTTTTTAAATTTTATTTCCGAGTCATTGTTTCTTGTTTCACCCTTCAAATGATGATTAAAGTGATATTCTACTTAAACAGTCAAATCTGGAATATCTTTTAGAAAATAAGATTTTCTGTTTCTGAATTTCAATTTTTAATGGGAAGTCTCCATAGCAACACTTGCCCAAACAATTACCTTTGTTCTTTAGGAGGAGTGGAAACACCTTCATCTTTGTGGAATTTGTCTATTTCCAGGTTCCTGCTTACTTGTTTGAACTTTGTTTGCCGAGTTGAAGAATTCTGCAGTGTCAAGTTTTGGGTTCTACTCTTGCTGCATTTTCTGTAGGAAATAACTTCCTTGAGGATGGGCTGGGCTGTTTTCCACTCCTGTAGTTGTATGTGAAATCTCTGCAATCATCTGAATTTTTAAAATAATCCAGGGTTGACCTGCTGCCAGATGTGAAGGTGCTAAATTTTGTCTTCCTCAATGTCTCTTTGCTTTTGAAAGACTGCAAATTCCCTTTAAATTGTTACTGACTTTGAAGAATAATAAATAAAACATGAGCTTCCAAGATGCAAAAGCTTTCATAGAAATACCAACTCCTATCATAGTTTCCCATCCTGTTACCTGTTCTTTATTGCTACGTGTATCTTAACATTTACCTATAAAGGATTATATCAAGTACAGAAACATTAATAATGATAGATATTGGCCAACCAGCTCCCATATTATTTTTTTTTTGTATCAAAGCAAAACTGAAAGACTTAAATGATACTTCATAAGTGACCCCTCTGAATGTAGGAAACATAGCTGATTGGTAGTTGAAGTTACAGTGTCTGGGTGTCTTTAAAAAATATGTAGTTTTTGACAGAAGTCTTAAAATACAGTTTACTTTTGCTTCCAGTAGCATTTTTTCTCTGTGATTTTCTGCTTTCACAAGTTACTGAATTTTTCTCTCACAATTGCCAGAGCAAAATGGATTCTTCAAGCTGGCAGTGTTTGTCGTTATTTGGATCAACATCTGATGGACTGAATAAGATCTGGTTCTCACATAGTTATTTAAAATCTATTTGTGGAGGAAATTGTGTGTGGCATTCAAAAGTTATTTATTAAATAAGTGATTCTTTCACATTTATTGTGAAAATTGTACTGTAATATGAATCCTGACACTTGATCTTGTCATGGTAGGGTTGAAGGTATGTATGTAAATAAAAAATGCATACAAATTTTTTTTTTTTTTTTTAATTTAAAAACTGCACTGGGATTTTTAATTTAGCAGCTAAAAGAAGTCTGAATGTTGGTGTTACACCATAGGTTTATGGAAGCTTTCCATTTGATGTAGGTTTGAGATATGCAGATGCCTGACCTTTTTTTTTCTTTTTTTCTTCTGTGGGAGAACTCTGACCAGAATGGAGTGACCAGAATTGCTTTATGCTGGATTTTGCCTTTTGTATTTGTGACAATGGGAGCTTGGGCTGCAAGACCTGCAGTGTCTGTGGCTCAGCTGCTCTCATGCAGAGGGTTTCAGGCGGGTGGCCCATCGTTGCAGGCAGCTCCCATGAAGAGTTGATTGGTTTGAGTTGTCTGGGCTGTGTCTGACCAGGGGCTTTCCTCTAATATGTTTTAATGCTTGGAGAGCAGGGTGAGAAACTTGCTGTGATTTGCACTTGAAGTTTGAGCTGGAGCTCAGGTTAGAAAAATCTAATTGAGTGAATATTGAAAAAATCAGGTAAGTTTTCTGGGGTGTTTGTTGCATTTCTTTCTGTAACATCTTTTTTACTTGAATTGTTTTCCATGGTTCATGTCATGGTGCAGCAAGGGGCTGCTGGCTCCCTGGGGCTGGGATGTGGGGAGCAGCAGGGGTTCCCTGGGGATAGCCAGGCTGGATCCCACAGCCAGTCTGTCCTGCTGCCCAGCCAGGGCGTGGGGCAGCCAGCAGCACCAGGACAGCCCCAGCACTGGCATCTCCGGCAGGGCCCGTGGCTGGGCTGGCAGGTCTGCCCCCGGGGGTGAATGGGATGCTGGGCAGGGACGGTCAGGGCTGGTGACACTCTCAGCATAACTCATTATTGGCAATGTGCTGGCACTTCCACCCACTCTCAGTACTGTAGCAGTCTTTGAAAGACAAATGGTTGTGTAAAACTTGTATGCACTTAGGAGAAGGCTTAGAAGGGCCTATTAAAATAGTGAAGTGGTAGAGAAGTCAACAGTACTACAATACTTTAAAACCATATAAAGCTTTTTTATTTTACAGATACAGTGTTGTGACTCTTGCCTGTAGCTGGATATAGTTCTCTAGAAGCTGAGACTTTAGGTTGTTTTAATTGCTCCTAGGAGTACCATTAATGTTTTGAGAAATCAAAATCAGCATGTACTGTAGGCAAATACATTGTTGGTGTTTTTCATGTATCTAATGAGGGCTATATCTTATTGAATGTCTTAAATGTAACTTTTATATTCAGAAAATGCATAAAGTACAAAAGCTACCCGATTATTTTTCATATGGTTAAAAAATTTATTAGGAGTTTATAACAAAAACTTGGAAACCACAAAATTTCAGTATAAAATGTTAAGCACTTTCTATTTCAACCATACTTTTCCTGAATTGGCAGCACCAAATTGGTCTCTACGTCCTTTTTTTTTCTCCCATTAGAAATGCAGCCCTCCAAGAATGGAACTATTTTTAGATATTATGCTTAATCCAGTTTGGAAGCTTGGTCCCTTTCCTGGTATAAATACGGCAGAGCTAAGGAGGAGTCCACATTGACTCTTGCTCTTTTCATATAAACAAAACACATCTTGCTGGAGATGTTTCAGACACAATCTGCAAGCTGTATTGTTAAGACAGGTGACATGCACCTGTAAAATTTAGTGGAGTTCAGAGGTTTCAGGCTGTTGTTTTACAACAGTTTTAATCTATCCAAACTGGTAGGGAATGAGTCTTGATCTCTCTGGCCTCTCTGACAGAGTGTGTGTGCAGTTCTTATATGAGCTGCTTTTTACATTAAACTGACAGAAAGTTATTCACTCTCTTGGATTTGGCTGGACTTCTGCTGTTTTAAGGAACTGAAGCAGCAACACTTGGGGTATCAAACACAGTCAAGGGAGAGGTGTGTGGGGAAAAATGATGTTATCATTCCAATGCCAGGTGCACGTGCACAGATTTAGGCTTAATCCATAATAGAACCATAGCCACAGTAAAGTTCAATCCAAGCTGCCTTCCCTATTTCATGTTTCAGTAGGTCACAGAAATTTGGCTCATTTATGTAGTTTTTTTCTGCTAATGATGAAAATGTGTGGTTTCTAACTCTATGGCTTCAATAGTCATCTTTTAAATAATGGGAGTTTTGTGAACCTGGAACATGCAGTGTGCACAGACCCTCATGAGATAAAAAGGAAACACTTGCACGAGTGCAGGTGAGGTGGGTGTACAACTGAATATTCTGTGTGGAAAAAATGATACTTTGCCCTCCTGTTTGGGCTCACAGCAATGGAGGTCTTCTGTACCTCAGGCAGTAGAAATTAAAAGGCTGTATAAAACAGCTGAAGGGACCAAGGTTTAGTCCCAGCTCCTTCTATATGTGCTGCTCATAACAGCTCTCCGTGTGTGCTGTATATCTGTTCATATTGACCCAGAAATGACATCTGGATCGTTCCCTGTGTATTAGAAAGAAACCGTCTAGTACTCGTCATCATCTTCCACGTCTTCTCCTGCTGTTGCAGCTTCCAGTGCAGCCAGAGCTGCTGCAACTTCTGCATCTTCCTCCTCGATTTCTCCATTGACATCTTTATGGTTGGTGTGTGTGGATGCCTGTGTGACAGCCACTGCAGTGATACCAGCAGTAAGGCTCTCACTCAAACTTGCAGAGCCAGTTTTAAAAGGTTCAATACTGCTCTCTTTCACAGGCCAAGGTGGGATTACACGAAGGTCCTGGTCCTGTATTGCTGAAGCACCAGTGTTTTTGTCTGAATGTGTGCAGTTGACTGAAAAGCTGTCCTTTTCAAGATAGTTCCCAGTTTGATTGCCATTTTGGGGGTAATCAATATCTGGCAGTCTTATGGTATTGTTTTCTCTTTCCAGTATTGAGTTTCCTTTGAGAAAGATGCTGTCTCCTGCAGACTGGGAGTCTGGAATACTGTGAGGCACATTGCTGGCTGCCTTACTCTGACTGCCTGTCTCTAGGTCAAGCTCTTGTCCAGACCTGTTTGATTTGGTGTAAAAGTCTCTGTTGCTGGCTGGAGAAGCCTTTGACTGGCTGGAGGTTCCCTTTTCACTGGTTCCTTTCACTGGGCTGGTGTTGGGGTTGGGTATGGAGTGCTGAGCACAGGAGTTGCCACCGTTGACTGCAACATCAAGCTTTGCAGCACACTTCACAAGGCCATCCTCTTGAGAATCATTGCCTCTGTGATTCCAAAGAGTTTCTGTTGTACTGTTGACTGGATTTTTATTTTCTGTTTTGTTTACCTCATCCTTCTGCAGTTCATTTTTGGGTTCTTCATTTTCACTGTTCTCTTTGAATTTGGATTTATTGCTGCCTTGTTCATTGTGTTTATAGCTGTTTACTTCATGAGTGCATCCAGATGATTGTACTTCTTCTGGATCAAAGATGTAGCTGGAGTAAGAAAAATTTGTAAAGGAAATGTTACTTTGATGTTCAATATAATTAGTAAAAAAAGATTAAGCTTCCTTTTTAAACTGAAGATCTTGAGAAAGGAGTTTACCTTGGGTCCTGAGAATGAGTTAAACCAAATGGAAATGCTGAATATGCTGTTGGCTGCTGTCTCCTGGGACTGATCATAACTGACCCCTGTACTGAGATTCACCAGGAGCATAAGGAGGATGTTGGAGAACTGTGTGCTAGTCATTGCTTGTTTCTAGCTTTATTTTTAAATTTTCTCTGGGGAGCTGATTAGCCAATGAGTAGTAATGAAATGGATTGTTAATTAATATGTCCTCATATAGATGCTAAAATAGGTTCCATTTTTTCCTGGTGTTCTTCTTTCAAGTCTTTTGTCCTCCCCCCGCCCTGCCCCCTCCCCCAAAGAACAATTTTCTTCCTCTTGCTCTATAATTTCCTTTACTTACCTCTCCCAGGGCCTCTCTCTTTTCTTTATCTTTCTTTTTTCACTCATAGTTGTATTTTCTCCCCAGTTCTTTGCCTGTTCTACAGAAGTGGCCAAGGGGAAGTAGTAACCCTCAAGTGGAGCTGAAATGTGGTCTTTATACAACTAGCTATTCCTCCTCTCTAGGGAGAGTTTTGATATGGGAATTCTTCCCCCAGCAAGCTACATTTAACAGCTATGATGGAAGCAAGGAACTGTTGTTCATTTTCATTGCTTGGGAGAGAGGAGGATCTGACATAATGTGTGCTCCTTGTTCCTCATGAATTAAGGAAAGCCCATGCTACCTAAATTAGAAAAAAACTTTACTGAAGAAGAGTTTTCAACGCAACACAATTCCTTTTGTGGGATAGGAATTATAGAAGCAGACCCTAATTACAGTAAATTAAAAGGACTTTCATAGGAAATCTCTATGCCTATACCTGAAGATGCTGTAAGCGTTGAGAAAACTCTAAACTTTTACAGTGGCTAATTAAAACAACAGGTGTGGGGGAGCAAAGACACATGGTTTAATGCTTTTATTCAGTCTAAGCAACTCTTGTTCTATTGTACCTTTGTATAATTTTGCAGCACCTGCACCCCATCTGGATTTTTCTTAATCTGAAAAGAGAGAAAGGGAGGGCAAGGGAGAGACAGAGTGAGTGAAGCATTATGAAATTAAAATATAAGCAATTGCATTGAAAATGATGCACGTGTTTAGAAGGGTTTGTTAGCTAAAAACAAAGATGTCTGCACAGGAATGGATGGAGTACTGTTCAAGGTCTTTGTAGGTTGTTGTTGTGCATTGGCAATGGTCTTTAATTGGGGAAAAATCTGGGGAAGAATTTAACAATTCTTAGTGATGTTCTCTCAGAATAGTTTCCTAAGCAATTTTATGACTGGGAGAATTGTAAGTCAGTGTATTGGGTGTGGGTTGTTGCTTTGTTGTTTGGTTGGGCTTTTTTTTTGCATTTTTTTTCCACTTGACACCTGTTGGTAAAGTTCTCTACCATGAATTTGCCCAGCTGTTTTTTGAAACAGTAAACTGCTAGCATCTACCACATCTTTTACTTAGAACTTTCACAGACCAGCTTTCCCATTGTGAGGAATCACCTGCTTTTGTTTGACTTGGACCTGTTTTTTACTAGTAGTAGTTGGTGCCTCGTAGTTCTTGTATTAGAAGTAGTGACTATCATGTCCAATTGTCACCATAGGAGAGGTCCTGTACTGTCCCCTCAGTGCTCATGTATTTAAATATTACTCATACTGACATTGTTTTGAGCATATGAACTGTCCTTGTGCTGTCCTCTGAGTCTTTTTGCATTTTAGCATCCTATTAAAATTAAGTGTGGGAACTACAAATGCAGAGTTCTCAAGGTGTTTGAAACCTGAAAGAAGCAGATTTATTTTTTCCTAATATCTTCTTGTTTCCATTCACTTGACCTTGTGACATCCACTGAGCACTGAGGTGACATTTTAGTGAGGCATAGATGAATTCCTGGAATGGGCATTTTGTTATAAGCAGTATGTTGCACCTCCATTTTACTACAGTAAAATTCCAGAGTTTTCCTAGAATTGGAGTCTCTCTGTGTTTTGCTACACCACTGCATGACCCAGTGAGATGCTAAGAACTATCTATTATATGGTTCTTATGCCAGAGCCTTCTATTATGAGAAGAAATGGTTTGTTAATTTGGACCCTTGAGAACATTCCTGTTCTGAACCTAAACTGAAGTCCCAGATCTGAAGATCCAAAACCCCTAAAATGCCCAATATTCTTTATGGGTGGTGGCTATCTTGTTTCAAGTTAATAAGTCAGGGCAGATTGTTTAACATGTTTTGTCCGTTGTTATTCAGGCTCTTCTTTTTCTCTTGAGATACTCTACAAACTCACATAGTTTTGCCAATGCCTAAGGACAGTGGCTCACCTCCCATAAAACAGAAATTGATGAAGCAAGGTCAGGGTATTTTCTGGAGTAATTTATTTACAAAACATCCAAGGAAAGTAGTATTGATTTATTCTTCTCAGGCATGGTTTGAACTGCACACCAGCAATTATGCTAGTAGAAATGTAAATCAAAACAGTTCCCCTCTAAAATCTGAGTACTTCTGGTGTTAGCGCTGAACTAAATACCTGATGTCAGAGTCTCATTCTTGGAGCCTCTAGCAGCCTACAAGTCATTCAGCAGCTGGTTTTATCCCAGGGTATAGCTGCTCATACCTATGCTTTTTGTCTTTGTGTACATGAACTGTTCTGAAGCAGAAATTTCTATCAGGAGTAACCACCTTGATGTAGCTGAGTGCTTGTTGGAATGGCTTTTAAGCCAGCTGCTTCTCTCCCTGGATTACAGACTCCCTACCACACCTCTGCAGACCGTGTACTGTGTATTCTCACCCCACATACCTCAGCAACATCACAGCAGGAATTCTGATTCAGGGTTTTTCATCTGAAGAGGATTGCCCTCTGAAATGCCCACACAGCCCTTGGCTTGGCTTTAAAGTTTATAGGTTTGGTGAACCCAGTTCTGAATTGTATGTAGACCGGCTCCAACAACAGATGTTGCTTCTAGCCCAGAGTGGGCACTTCAAGTCAGGGTGCTTCTGCTTAGAGTTTTATCTGACAGATTTCCTAGTCAGGGATTTTATTTACAAATTTTGTGATTTTTTTTTTTTTTAAAGCAAAAATTATTGCTTATAGGTTTTAAGCATTGGGAAGTTGTAAATGCTGGCCTTTATTCTGTTGTAAAGACATTTGTGCCTGTCATGGAAGGCAATTATAAATTGAAATTGCTCTTGTAGTTTTCACAGAAAGCAGTTTCCTGGTTTTTGGTGTGTGTTTGTTTTGTTTTGTTTTTTAAATTACAGCTGCTGTTGGAATTATCTCTGCAGCTACTGCATTATGCTTTTCCACTGATTAGTTACAACTGGATCTGTCCTGTGGCATGAATAAACTATTACATATGGAAAACAGTGTACATTGTATTATCTTATGAATTATTTCACATCCCTGAAATAGGAATATAGTTTTACAATGTCACTGTCTGAACGCTGGCTTTTTTTTCCCCCTTGCCCTTTCCTTCCATTAATCTTTCAAGTCAAGCATCATTCTGGGAACAAATTGCTTTTATAGCATGAAAAATCATGCTTTAATCCTACTTATCTTGTTTTAGATACCGAGCTCTAAAGGCTTGTGTACTGTGTGATGTTCATAGTTCTGTTAATGGATAAATAATATCAATAAGCTGCTGTCTGGAGCAGTTTGAGTCAGGCAAGTTCTGCAGGCTTGTAACAAAAGAGGGTTAGAAACTTCAACAATGGATGATGTTAACTGATGGACGTTAACCGATACTGAATTTAGAAACATGGCATCCTTATTAAATGTTTGTCCTGTCAGATATGCCTTGCTGCTAAATTGATGAGATAATTTCAGAAAAACATGACATGATGTGGAATGCTGTCTTGTAGAACACTTTAGGGGCTATTTTTCCCCTGGAAAAATGCTGCCTGTCTAAAGTGGCAGTAAAATCCTTGGCTTTAACATTCAGATTCTCAGAATTGAGATCAAACTGGCATTAATCCTAGATATTATTATTCTTTCTTGACCATGAAATTTCTGAAGGCCTGTAAATGTCTGTCACTAGTAATTATGCAGTTACTTAATCCTGAACACTAATAGATCACCTGGCATTAAAGCTCTGCAAAAATGTTCAGTAGAGATTTTTTAGAAGTTTTTTAGATGTGGACTGGACCACTTGGAGCTTTTGCAGGCATAAGACGGAGCTGTTGAGGTAAAATGAATGAAGGAGGCCTAGAATTAATTTTTTTTACTGTCCCAAATTTTGAACTTGAATTTTTCAGCTTTTAGTAGCTGCTGAATCTCCTGAAGTATGTCTCTGTGGATGAGCTTGTACCAGGTTCTACGAAATAATCAGATTCTTGCAGTGTGACAGTGTAGAATAGCCTTGTGGTTTGCATATTAAGTATCAGTGCTTGTTTCATTTAAAGTGATGTTTCTTTTCTTCAGTGAAAGAGATGGAAGAGGCCCAGCTTTGGATGTTTACCCCAGCTGACCTTTAGCTGACCGTGTCAGAAGATAGTCTAGATATAATGTGCTTGCAATGTATTAAAGAAGTGTTCACGGGAGACAAGGACGACCTATTATGAAAGACTGACTTTCTTCCTTTAAAGAAATATGATACAGAAGAGCAACTTCTTAAAAAAAAGTTGGAAAAAATTAGAACAATGGAAGGAGGTAGTAATTAGTCTTAGTTTGAAGAGAGCAGGACACAATTCCCATCAGTAAAACAAATGCTGAAAAGGGGAAGGTCGTTGAAAACATTTATGGTGGTGCCGGCTAAGAGAATGAGGTGGGACTTCTTTTTCTTTCAAGTGTGAGATCTTGGTGAAGATAACAAGAATAATGTCTGACTCCAAACCCACAGCCTTGTGTTTCAAGTCACAGTGTGCTTTAAGAGAAGTCTGCTTTTCTTTATCAGATTTGAGAAACACAAGGTATCTGACTCTAAATTAGGTAATAACATATTGTTATGAGTAAATAAAAGGAAAACAAGAGATAATGTCATGAAAAAGAAAGAAGAAATATTTTTGAGTCATAAAAATGGCTTGGCACCTTTTTCAATATTTTTTTGAAGTTTACATAGAAACAGAAAAAGGTCAGTCTTACTTTTGCTCATGGTGTATCTTTTATTCTGTCTTGATTTTTATTTTTAAATTCCTTTTAGACACCTCCAGGAGCAGAGGCAGAAAGATGAGGGAGACAATATTAAAATAGCTTCTCTAGTAGATCTCAACAGATAAACTCTGATTTTGGATCATTATTTTTAATCCAGTCTCCTTTTTTGTTTGTTTGCTTTAGCTTGTTTGGAGTTTTCATCCCACAGACCCTGATGCTTCTGTTGTTTGGCTTTTTACTCTCCTCCATCCTTTCCCACATTAGATTACCTTAGCAAGTAAGGAGATTTTTCCTGCATGGGTATTATCTGGGCTGAGCCTGAATGATGTATCTCCCAGGGGCCTGAGGCACCTCCTTCTGATGACTTTTTCTAGTAGAGGCATCTTTCAGACTTGATCCTGCCAGTGTCTTCCCCATCAGTTTGCTGTGTTTTCTCTCCTCAGTAAAACCTGAGGATACTGCCCTGAGGTACCAGTCTCTGTCATGGTGAACTTGATCCTTGTTCATCAAAATCAAGTCTGTCTGCCTCACTAGTAATGCAAACACAATTGACTTGGTTAGTATTTCTTTGCTAACATAGATGCTAAATTCTAACCAGCTAGGAGACATATGCACAGAAGCAAGTATGGGAAGAGAAAGTGTTTGCATGGAAATGTGTGCAGAGGAAATATAGAGAATGTGGGGTGGGAATAACCTTAGAGAGCTCTAGGAGTTGACAAGCTTCTCCTAACAGGAGGTGCAGTTGCCTTTTGTGCTAAGTAGGCATTCACACCTCTCAGAAGATTTCAGAGGCTGTTCTCAGCATGTGCTAGGTCTGACAAAGGCTCAGAGGTGCCTAGGCTGGAGGAAGGAAGCGCAATGTCCATGCTCATTGCAGGGCAGGTGGATGAGATGACCTTTAAACTCCCTTTGAACACAATCCATTCTGT